TGGGGGAAAAATGTAAAGAGTACTAGAGGCGATAGTGCTGTCTAGACAGAAAACATATTTCTCATGGGGATGATGCAATAGAGCCTGCGATGTCGTTAACCTAATAGTAAAAAAGCCTTTCAAAATGAGAAGCAACAAGCATTTATGAGATAAAAAAGAATAGCTACTTGGGAATCATTAATTCAGCAAATAACTGTTCTGCTTGGAGACAAACACAAAGGGCATTTATGAGAAAGGGAAGGAGAATGATTACATCCATAGAAGGAAGGCATTTCTGTTGGCTCAGGTAACACAGTGACCATGGTTCTAAACAATGTTTGTAACTTTTAGCTCAGTAAGCATTGGTGCAGTAGTCACAATGTCTGCTTTTCTGTTACACTTGCAAACAGTCCTTTGGGAAACAGCGTTGCTTAGGCCCAGTACAGGGGTTATTTTGCCGGTTTAACTTTCCCAAGATTTGAGGCCTAAGTCATGCAAGGCAGCTCCTGTGCTGGCAGACCCAGCTCCACTGTAAAGGGGCTCCGCTTAAACGATTGCTTACAGTGCAATGCATGTAAGAATTGGAATAGATCTAAGGCTGTAGCCACCCAGCACCTATGACTACTAACCTTTGTTACCACTTCACAATTCACATAGAGCTTTTATGGAATTGATTTTTCTGTCTTTTGTTGATTTTTCTTTTCTTTCACCCTTTTCATTATTATTATTTTATTTTTATGGTTTTGATCCTGCTCTGCCTACCTTAATTATATTTCTCATTTAAATAGTAGTTGAACTTGTGGTTGTCAGTATTCAGTGACTCCAGCTTACCTCACAGCAGTATTTGATGGCTAACAATGTTCGTTTCAGCCTTGTCTGTAACACATTCTCTTTCGCTTCCTCACGTCCCATTTCTGCACATCAGAGTCATTGACTTGGGAGTCATGACTCCCTGTGATAAGATCCTGAAAGCGGCTCTTGACCACAAAGCAGGTACAGTGCAACCAAACGGGGCATTTCCTTTCGTGTCTGTCTCTCAGGGACTAGTTTGACCTGCACAGGGGGGCCTGGGAGGGGCATTCAGACAGTGATGTGCCGGCTCCTCTGTGGGGGCTGCTCTCAGTGCCACGTATGACGGGTTGAGAAGGTGAACAGGGAACGGAAACCCCGTGTAGCCCTGAAGATGGGAATGAGATAGCCTCTTAGAAGAGAACGGTGCATTAGACTTTGCTCTCTGTGCAGTGTTTATGTCCACACACTGTGACGTGTTCGAGTCTGGGACTTCATAACTAACAGTGTATTCTAGTGCCCGGCTCACCAAAACTGTGGCAAGTACATTATTGCAACTTTAAGCTACAAACCATGTTTACTACCAAAAGCAAACAATAAAGCGAAGCCCCCAGTTAGAAAAGATGTCTTAGAATTAGAAATTGGGAATTCATATTACGTCTTATGGTCTTTATTACCAAAGTTTTTTAGATGAGTCTTCATACTTTTCCTCCTTTTCTGTCATCCTCCTCCTAATTTGTACTTTCTTCCTTTTTTTAAATAACAGATATAATTGGCCTGTCAGGACTCATCACTCCTTCTCTGGATGAAATGATATTTGTTGCCAAGGAGATGGAGAGATTAGCTATAAAGATCCCCTTGTTGATTGGAGGGGCCACCACTTCTCGGTAAGTCCTGCTCTGGAGCTCTGTGCTGCATTCACGTCCCATCCTCAGGACAGAGTTTGAGGACAGTGATAAGACCTGGGTTGCTTTTCCCTGTGCTTGTTAGTACACGGTCTCCTCGTGTGTAAGCGCGTGCACTTTGCCGACCTTCACTCGGACAAGAGCACGCATCTGAGAAGCCTTTGGGATCCCCGCCCTTCGCCTTTCCTTGGATTCCTTTCCTTAGCCCTCTCACCTGCCATTCAGTTCCTGAGATTTATAATGAGCACTCACTCCTCTCGAAATAAAACTAAGTAGAGAAGCTGCGTTTCGGCACAAAGACATGGCTTGAACTTCAGCCACTCCTTGTCTTGAAGCCGGAGTCTGAGTAACTCCAGGTTCCCTTGTAGCTCCAACCTGTGACAGTAGACACAGAAAGCAAGAATGAATCGAAGGCTCACTTTGGGAAGTTATTTTTGAAAGGGGAAAGCTTTGGGTTAAACAGCTTCAAGAGGAGAAAGTTCAGATTTGGTCACATCATTATTCAGTTTGTCAGATTTTACCTGGGGTCATATTTTTGGTGAGAAATGTGTTAATTATGTGTATTAGACTTTTCATTATGCCCCTTACATTCACTTTGTCAGGGAATAATGCCCAGTGGAGCATTGAACTTGGCAATCCCATAAAGAATTCAGTTTATTTTTCTGATACAAAAATACACTCGAGTCCAGCCAGCATGGCTCAGTGGTCGAGCGTCGACCTATAAACCAGGAGGTCACGGTTTGATTCCCAGTCAGGACACCTGCCCGGGATGCAGGCTCCATCCCCAGTAGGGGGCGTGCAGGAGGCAGGCAATCAATGATTCTCTGTCATCATTGATGTTTCCATCTCTCACCCTCTCCCTTTCTCACTGAGATCAACAAAAACATATTTAAAAATACACTAGAGGTCTGGTCAGAGGAACTCCAGAGTCCTTTTGCACGGTCCCTTTAACAACTGTATGTTAAACCGTTTGCGTTAGTCGGGGTTCTCCAGAGGAACACACACACACACACAGAGGGAGAGCGATGGGTTTTAGGAATTGACTCATGCGATTTTGGGAGCTGCCGGGTGTGAAATCTTCAGGGAAGGTGGGCGGCCGAGACCAGGCAGAGCTGCTGTGGCAGAGCTAGGTCCACAGGCATCTGGGGGTAGATGTCCTTCCTCAGGCTCCTCACTGTCTTCTCTTAGAGCCTCTCACTGACCGGATGCGGCCCACCCACGTGTGGAAGGCATCTGAGTGTTACGTCATTTATCCAGTCATTGCTTTACGTGCTTGAGGACTCCGTGGCGTGGCTATTGCTGCTCACATTAGAAACAGGTTTGTTTTTCCACCAAGGACTTACCCTCCAGGACCAGTGGCAGGATGTGACTGGCCGCTGTGACTGGGGTTTCAGTGAGCCTGGTCTCGGGTCACTAGTGATTGTGCTGTGAGTATTTATTAGCTTAGTAAAGAGAATGGAACTTACAGATTATTGTCAGGATGAAATACGTTTTATTTTATTTTTTAGTTTTATTGATTTCAGTGAAGAAGGGAGAGGGAGAGAGAGATAGAAACATCAGTGATGACAGAGAATCATTGATCGGCTGCCTCCTACACGCCTCCTACTGGGGATCAAGCCCACAACCCAGGCACGTGCCTTTGACCGGAATCGAACCCGGGACCTTTCAGTCCGAAGGCCGACGCTCTATCCACTGAACCAAACCAGCTAGGGCAGGATGAAATACCTTTTAAAACCGCAGGTGTATGCCCTAACCGGTTTGGCTCAGTGGATAGAGCTTCCGCCTGCGGACTGAAGGGTCCCAGGTTCGATTCTGGTCAAGGGCATGTACCTTGGTTGCGGGCACATCCTCAGTAGGAGGTGTGCAGGAGGCAGCTGATCGATGTTTCTCTCTCATCGATGTTTCTAACTCTCTATCCCTCTCCCTTCCTCTCTGTAAAAATCAATAAAATATATTAAAAAAAAATAAAAATAAAAATAAAACTGCAGGTGTGAAATAGAATAAACAAATAAGTGAGCAGATGTAGTGAAATGCATTGCGAATTGTGTAAATATGCTGCTTTCAAAATAAGGACCACTTTTTATGGTCGGACACCACACTCAAGTTCAAGATGAGGAAACCACACGGCTGCTGGTGCAAACTGGAATATTTCCAAGTCATCCATTCTTTTCTGTCTCTTAGCAGATGAGCCACCAGATGAAAGGTGTTTTAAAAAGCATCCAGAAGCAGCGCGGCCAGCCTCTCCCTTCACTGTGTTATGTATTAATTGAACCAGCAGACATGTGGCCTGGGCTGTTGCTTAAACATTCAGCAGTCAGGGCAGTGTGTTTGCACTGTAGTTAATTGGGCGGTTGTAAGGATTAAAGGGTGTTTCCTCCTCAGCACTAACATTTCCAAGTTTGGCAGAAGGCATTTGAGGCTGAGCCAAGGTCATGAAATATTTTTGTTGCTTTTGCGTCTCTGTTATTTGTGTTGCATTGACTTAGGGCCTGAGATTCCTTCCTGTAAGTCCACGGTGAGGGTGGGCCAGGCCTGGCGGTGTCTCCCAGGGACAGGGAGCAGCCGCAGAGCGTGGTCCTGCCTAGTGTCTGGTTCTCAGGGCCCTGGCTGTACCCCAGCTTCTTTGGAGGGAGACACTCAGCTTCGTTCAGACAGGCTGCTACTGAGTGCGAGGTCCCAGACTAGTCCTGGACCTGCCGGCAGAGGACTGAGGACAGACTTCTTTATAGCCCGGAACAGACCCCGCTCCTTTCCCGTCTTAGGGTGGGGAGAAAGTCATTCTGTTTTACAAGGGAAATTTGACGTTTTCCAGGAAAGCACCGTGGAAACGCAGCGGTTCTGAACACGAGTGGGGTAGGGTGTCAGCACTGATGGGTGTGTTTTTCTCCTGACCTCTCTCTTCAGAACCCACACGGCGGTGAAGATCGCACCCAGGTACAGCGCGCCCGTGATCCACGTCCTGGACGCGTCCAAGAGCGTGGTGGTGGTGAGTGTCGTGAGGAGAGGACAGAGAGCGCTGAGCGTCAGGGCTGTCACCCAACAGCTATTTATGTTTGTCCAATTCCACTCAAAATGTGAAAGAGCTTATGGCTTCTGATGGTGTCACTGTCATTGTGTGTGTTGCTGGAAAGGTGCGGTGAGCGTGCCCTGGGCTTTCAAAGTCCCCATCCTGAACTTCCAGCGGGAGTGCTGGCTGAGCGACAGGAATGGTGGCACCAGGACACCCTTGACCTGGACACTGCCCCAGGGAGAGAGAACTCAGCCATTTAGAATTATTTACAGACATAGTGTACACTCTCTGAACTCCATGCCAGAGTGAAAGGAATTTGGAATTTTTTTAAATGACCCGTTTCAAGTTCAAAAAACATTTAATCATGCCCTGGCCGGTGTGGCTCAGCTGGTTGGGTGGCATCTGGGCACTGGCAGGTTGCTGGTTCGATTCCCAGTCAGGGCACATGTGCGGGTTGCGAGCTCAGTTCCTGGTGGGGGGTGTGCAGGAGGCAGCTGACTGATGTTTCCCTCTCATATCTACGTTTCACTTTCTCTCTCCTTCTCCCTTCCTCTAAAAATCAATAAAAATATATATGTTTTAAAAACATTTAACCTGGAACAGGCCAGCTGATCCTACCCAAAGAAAGAAAAACGATTGTGCAAGATCGGAACCTTCCAGGCCTACTGAGTTAACCCTTGCTTGCACAGCTAGGCAGGAATTAGCACAGTGGGTGAAGGGAGAGGAAATGGTGTCAACACGGGAAGGCTTCCTGAAGGAGGTGTCGCCAGAACCAGCCAGTGTTGCCTGTTTTTACCGCTTGTGCTGCTCCGTGCCTTTTACTGACCTGGATCTTGCGTTTTCAGTGTTCTCAGCTCTTAGATGAGAATCTGAAAGATGAGTACTTTGAGGAGATCACAGAAGAGTATGAGGACATTAGACAGGACCACTATGAGTCTCTCAAGGTGAGTGACAAAACCAGGGTACAGCTTGTTTGGGTGATAAACCGACCCTACAGTTTTCAATGTGACTTGACTGTTTTGAGGAGGGTAAAGGTTTAGGAACATTTTAGAGAAGTCCTCTTTTCTAGTTGAGATCAGAGTTCTGTGTCTGAGTTTCCAACAATTTGTGGTTCTATTAAAATTAATTTTCTTCACTCCTCCAAACACGTATTGGGTGGTACGTATTGCAGTAGGTGTTAGGTGCTGTGCTCAGACCCGAGTCATGGGAATGAGTAAAACATGAGCTCCGAGCCAGCAGGGGAACGGGAACTGACACGGTGCTGGGCACACTCCACAGCTCCTCGTTCTGAGGAAACGGAGAAAATGGAGACGGGACGGGAGCTCTGCGGCATCTCCCTGGCTCCCAGCACGGACTACTCCCGTCCCTCCCGACGAGCTCCCTTGGACATACTTGTGTGGTAGCAGCTAAAAATCCAAGAGTCTGACTATATAACTTCTTTTTTTTCATAGGAGAGAAGATACTTAACCTTGAGTCAAGCCAGAAAGCACAGCTTCCATATTGACTGGCTGGCTGAGCCTCCCCCAGGTCCGTTGGGTGTTGCGTAGAGGGGGCTGTGGTGGTAACGGGCTGCAGGGGTGCTTGCATTGACTTGGCTACAGAGTCAGACAGGCAGCTGGAGATTCCTGATCGTGTCTAAGAGTGATGATGAGGGACAGTGACGATTGGAAAGAAAAGTAAGCAGTTCCATGTGCAGAAAACCAGGCACTGTCCTGAGCGTGACCGCAGCCGCTCCGGGTCCCGGACACAGCTCTGCAGTGGATGTGCTGGTCTCTGCCCATGTCCATCTGAGGACCTGAGTGTGGGGTCATAGTGGGAGGCAGTAGGATTCAGTCTCTGCTAAGCCCGGCTCCTTCCGGTGCTGTGGAGGGAAGCCCTCTCTGAAGTCTTCAGGGATTTCACGGGTGAGGCATTTTAGACTCAGGGCGTAAGAACAGTATCTTGCCGTGTTCTTATATACCCACTTCCACTTAAGAAGTAGCCTACCTCCCATTTAGAAAACAAGACAGTACCATGTGGCGGGGGTCCCCTGGGGTCCCCCCTCCCCTGCACGATCCTGAATTTGATGCCTCGGCTCCTTAGACTGTGACTATGTATGTCTGTAGCCGTAGGTGAAGAGATTTGTTGTTTCACGTCTTTGAACTTTGTATTTATGTCTTTCCACAGCGGCCTTTAGTTAGTATTGTCCTCATTTGCACATGTGAGGATTGAATTTGATGCCTCGGCTCCTTAGACTGTGACTATGTGCGTCTGTAGCCGTAGGTGATAGAGATTTGTTGTTTCATGTCTTTAAACTTTGTATTTATGTCTTTCCACAGCGACCTTTAGTTTAGTATTGTCCTCATTTGCACATGTGAAGATTAACCCAAGTCTTTCTTTTTTCTTGGGCGGAGTGGGGGTGGGAGGGTTGAGGGAAGACCCCAAGGGCGATGTGGTCAGTCGGCTACCTGGGCGAAGGTTTTATTAACGATTCGCTGCAGATGACGCCCTCTCTGTGACAATGTGAAGCCCCTCTTTGTGGAACAGCTGCGGTGATTGTAGAGAGACAGAGCGAGGGAGCCAGCAGAGCAGGTGTCCCAGGTGCTCTGCGCAGGGGCCCCGCCAGGCCCGTGTCTTGCTGACCCCGGCTCTCCTCTCCTGCAGTGGAGCCCTCGTTTCTCGGGACGCGGGTCTTTGAGGACTACGACCTGCAGGCGCTGGTTGGCTACATCGACTGGAAGCCTTTCTTTGACGTGTGGCAGCTCCGGGGCAAGTACCCGAACCGCGGCTTCCCCAAGATATTTGACGACAAGACTGTAGGTGAGTGCGGTGCTTCCTCCTCCCTTCGCTGACACAAGCAAGTGAGACGGATCTCAGCCTGGGAGGCAGGGCAGGCTTCCTGGAGGAGGTGGTGTGTGAACTGATTTTTGAAGATTACGTGGGAATTACTGAGGCTGGGCCTGGGGACGGGAGGGAGCACTGAAGAAAAGGAACCACTTAAGAGGGTTCCACATCCCCAGAGGTTCCTGTGGGTCAGTGGCGTTGTATGTGCACGGGAGCATCGGCGACAGGAGGACTTGCCTGCTTTGGGTCGCTCTGTGTGACAGATGGCTTTGGGGAGCCACCGGTTTGCGCTTTGCCTTCATCAAGTGGGAAAATGTAAGCAGTGTGAGCTGTGGGGGAAGACTAGGGCTGCATCTAGCAGGAACCACGAACCGTCACTGCTTCACCCTGAGTTGCGCTGATGACAAACACTGAGAGAGTATTTGAGGGGAAGAGGTGAGAAATGACAGGAGAGGGTAGTGGCTTTACAGGGCAGCACTGCTGGTCATTAGCATCTGTAACTGAGTCCCTGCCATGTTCTCCTCCTAGGTGAAGAGGCCAGAAGGCTCTATGATGATGCCCAGAACATGCTGAGAGCTCTGATTGGGGAGAAGAAGCTGCGGGCCCGGGGCGTGGTGGGGTTCTGGCCCGCGCAGAGCGAGCAGGACGACATTCACCTGTACCCCGCGGGCTCCGAGCCCCGGTCCTCGCAGCCCATCGCCACCTTCTATGGACTGAGGCAGCAGGTACGAGAGCGGGTGGGCTGCCACAGGCTGTCTACTCCTCGGTGTAAGCAAAAAACGTAAATAAGAATGAAGTCTGAGCTTTGGGTAATCGGTAGCCTGAAAACCACCCCCGCCCCAGATGACCAGTCACAGGCCCAGCCTGGGGCCTCTGTGAGGACATGGAGAGAAGGCGGGGCCTCGCACACCAAGGGCGGGTCTGCTGGTGTCTCAGGCGGTGGAGGAGAAGCCCCGCCCCTGCCTGGGTGGTCATACGTCAGCTGTGCACACGCATGTTACTAAAGTGGGCTGGTGGCTTCTCTCTCAGGGGAGACAGGCGGGACCAGCCTCGGCTGAATGTGTACCTGGGGCCAGGCGCTCACAGGGCTCTTGAGGGACCGTCTTGTTTAATTTCCACGCAGCCTTGTTTTGGGGCAGTTTGTGTGTGTTCTGCAGAGGAGGACAGGAAGGTGGTGGACACTGTGCTGAGTCCAGAGCTTGGAGGGGAGCCCAGCCTGTCCTCACCCCCTGGCTGTTCTGTCACAGCCCAGCTTCTCTCGGCATCATGAGAGCAGGCCCAGCGCCACACGCCTCCTTCACTTGTCCCCAGCTTGCACAATGCAGATAGGATAGGCACGTCCGTCCCTTTAGCTGTATAAAAAAATCATCTTAATCAAGAATTGGAACCAGAACTCACCAGAGTTATTAACAAAGGGCTGCAGTAAATTAGTCTTGCAAAGTTTTGCTACCATTTCAGTCATTTAGAAGCGATAGTGTTGCTTTTAATCCTAACCACAGTATAACTCATAGTGACAGGTATTTTTACTCTAACAACATCTGTAGAGGTTCTTAGCTGAGGACATTAAACAGCACACGACAAGGGAAACGGGCGGCCACGTGACTGCAGCACTCAGGCCAGACACCGTGGAGATAGGCTCTGCTCTGGGGAACTGGCCACTCCTTTTCCAGGGTCACTAAGGGCACAGACCTCCTGCAGGTCCCGTGTCCTCTGACCCGCTTTCATACCGAACCCTTTGTGTCCAGTCTGTGACCTCTCAGCGTCCTTGTTACCCACGCAGATGGGTGTTTCGAGCTGCTTCCCCTCAGCACTGGAGAGGTCCAGCCGCAGCAGGTCCTGCTCGGGGGTCTGTTCGAGCGGCTCTGCTGCCGTCCCCGCTGCCGTGCGGGGGCTCTGCGCCCTGTGCCCCTGGGCAGGAAGCTCTGTCCCCGGCGTTGTGAGCACAGAGCAGCTGATGGCAGTTCAGCTGGCGAGCAGCTCCTCCCTGCAGAGCTGCCCTGGCTCTTGGCACTTCCGGGTCCTGCACTGTCCCTCCCACGGTCAGGGAGGCTGTGCTTGTGTCCAGAACCAGCGAGCACATAGCGCCTGAGCTGCTGGGTCAGCCACTCATCTGTTGATTGGCCAGTCCTAGTGCCGTGTGGTGGTCAGGAGAGCACCCCCCAAGCTGCCACTCTCTGACCCTGAGCGAGTGGCTCAGGCTTGTCCACCTGGGAGTTCTTGTCGGGAAGTAGAGCTGATGGCATCACTTCCTTCACAAGGTTGTTGAGAGGATTAGATTAGTTCATTCACATAAAGCATCAGGAGCAGTGCCTGGCCTAGCGTAAGCATCACTCAGTAAATATTCGTTATTAGCTGTTTACGGTCTCAGCAAAATTACTGCTTGTGAAATATGTTTACAGTCTTATTTGTCAGCTTAATGGAAGGGAAGAGTCAGTCATCAGCTGAAGATGAAAAATGGGAGAGGCACCTGGCCTGGGGAGAGAGCCACATTTTGATATGAATCAAGGGAAGAAGCAGACCCTGCTGAGTTCCTTGTCTGGTTTCGGGCCGGTCCAGGGCCTCCTCAGCTGTCTCCTGAACCACCACCCGTGGGCCGCCATGCCTGTGCTGCTGGCTGGCAGCTTGGTAACCTACTGTGGATGCAGAAGTCGAGGCTTACATATGTGGGGGACCCCTTCTGATCATAACTTCAGGGTTCAATGTTGATTGTGAATAGAAAACGCTTTGGGAGGAAGTTTTTATTTTGAATGAATGTTTAGGTTCCACTTCCTGGCACAGTGCCTGTGGCCGCAGTGAACATGCGCTTGGTGTGTGAACGAGCGGATTAACTGGTTTCTTGACTACGTATGCCAGGTCATAGTTTTAAAATATCATTTCATTTGTTCATTCAACAAACGTGTATGGAATATTATGCACTCTTCTAAGTGCTGCGGGTGTAACAGCGCACGAAACAGGCATCCCTGTTCAAACCTGTATTCACCTGTATTGCTGTCCGCTGTGTGTGGTGCCATGTCCCTGCTTATGCCGCACCCCGCCCCCCCCCCCCTTGATTTCAGGCGGAGAAGGATTCTGCCAGCACAGACCCGTACCTCTGCCTTGCGGACTTCATCGCGCCGCTGCACTCGGGCCTCCGGGACTACCTGGGCCTGTTTGCTGTCGCCTGCTTCGGGGTGGAGGAGCTGAGCCGCGCCTACGAGGAGCAGGGTGACGACTATAGCAGCATCATGGTCAAGGCGCTGGGGGACCGGCTGGCGGAGGTAGGGCAGCCGTGCCCTGAGCACAGAGGCAGGGTCGGGGCCCGAGACAGCGCCAGGAGTGGGCATCTCGGGGACCAGGCAGACTGGCCTTAGCAGCACGCAGCTTTACACCGTGTGTTCCCTAACTGTTCTCCCACTTCACCTTCCGGGCAGAGGGACCCTTCAATGGTGCTGCAGTTCAAGTCACCCTGAGAACCTCGACTTTATTGTCCTAGTTCTCATGTCTCCGTTTTCTGTTGTGATGTGAGGTTTTCCTGAGGAGCCTGAGAAATTAAAACCAGACTCGTTTCAGAGCTCCAGTTCTAATCCTGGGACCCCCTCTAGGGTCCTCCGTCTGCATGCAGTGAGTGAGCCGAGCTCTGGGTTGGTCCCTCCCCCATCCTGAGGCCAGTAGTGGAGAAATGAGCAGCTGGAATGGTCCCAACTTTTCTTCCTGGCCACAGTGAGCTGTAGAAGAGCCTTCAGGAAAATGTTGACATTAAAGGGCTTAGAATCCTTGGATGATTAAATATGGAACTTCAGTGCCCAATCTGAGGCCAAAACAGAGCCAGCAGAGCAACTAATGACACTACAAAGGGGTCGAGAATCCAGCTTGTGCCCTCTTGCCAGGTCTCCCCTGGCTGGTCCAGGCAAGGGCGCCGCCCTCCTGGCGTTGGTGGAGGGGTGCAGGCACACGGATGCCTGGGCTCTGGCCTCTGCCTGACCCCCCTTGTTCTGGGTGCCAGGCTTTTGCGGAGGAGCTCCACGAGAGGGTGCGCAGAGAGCTGTGGGCCTACTGTGGCAGCGAGCAGCTGGATGTCGCCGACCTGCGAAAGCTGCGCTATGGGGGCATCCGCCCGGCGCCCGGCTACCCCAGCCAGCCTGACCACACCGAGAAGCTCACCATGTGGAAGCTGGCCGACATTGAGCAGTGCACAGGTACGTGCCAGGGAGTGGTGTCTGCTTCTGTTATTCAGTGGATACACTTCTGTCAACATGCCGCCCAGCTGCCAGGCCTGTGCTGGGCACCGAGAGTGTGAGCATGTCTCCTGTGTTGCTCTCTGCAGGCATTCGGTTAACAGAGTCGTTAGCGATGGCTCCTGCTTCAGCCGTGTCCGGCCTCTACTTCTCCAATTTGAAGTCCAAATACTTTGCTGTGGGGAAGATTTCCAAGGACCAGGTAAGCTAGCTGTTTCATGATATGTGGCTTCCCCGGGTGGACCCCTGTCTTATTTTAAGTGGAACTATAGAATCTATTGTATTTCACATATAAATGAGAATAAAATGTGAAGGAAAGGATAAAGACATTTACCTTAGTTAAGGTCTTGATTCTGGCCCTCTCATCTACATGCAGACCGCACTCATGCATGCACACTCACGTGCGTGTGCACACACATACATGCATGCACACGCTCAGACCCCAGCCAGCTTCTAAGATTTAGATATTTACTACATGTTGCTTCTTGCCCATAGCTTAGACAACTTAGTGAATAGACAACTATTCCTCTCCATTTATCTCAGCTAATAAGATAGGAAATGGAAGGTACTTAATATTTCTGGGCAGAGGGACCCTTCAATGGTGCTGCAGTTCAAGTCACCCGTATTATTTTGGTCTAATAAGCTGCTTTTTATCTTTCGAAGGTTGAGGATTATGCTCTGAGGAAGAACATGTCTGTGGCCGAGGTGGAGAAATGGCTTGGACCCATTTTGGGATATGACACAGACTAACTTCCTGTTTTGTACCTTTTCTATACTTGATGATCCTCAAGGAAATATAGCCCAGAGTGCCTTAAGGAAACAGCAACACACAGCCCACACACATGGGCAACATCTGCGCGGCTTTGTGTGCCGTAGTTCGGTGAACCCTGGAGGAGCAGCGTCTCCCCTGGTTCCTGGGAACAAGCTGCAGTGTCACCCTCAGCAGCAACCGGGGCGTATGCTCGGGGATGAGCTGGAGATGGGAGCCTGTGCGTGTCACAGCAAGTCCACCTGCTGTTTTCAGTTTTACCTGGGACCTCGGAGGACACTCGGTGTTGTTTTTTCATCTCAGAAAAAAGGCTGAGACTCCGTTGAATAGAGCACATTACCCTGTGGCAGAATGGCGCTGTGAGCGGTGGGGCGTTTTAACCCAGTGGCTGCCACCGTGGACTCTGACAGGGAAGAGAGGATAACTGCTCTTTCATCTCCTAAAGGCGTATTTAAAGGATGGCAGACGTCCCTTTGGCAAAGGCACTCCGTAACTGCTGGCTTGTCAGGAAGACTCCAGCTGTATGTGTTCGTGTGGTCAAATACAGTCATGCTCTCTAAGCATTTTGTCCACTCATGATTCCATGTTTCTTAGCCCTAAGAGTAAAAAAAGGTGGGAAGAGAGAGGAGCCGTTAAGGTCCGTTAACATCTCTTTTAGTTGTTTTCCAGAAGCTGTGTGTAGTGGAAACTATATCAGCATGAGAAAAGACATAGAAACCATGAATAAGAACAAGTCGGAAATGAAGACTATCATATCTGATACCAAGAATACACTGGAAGGAAGTGAAAGTAGGCTGGATGAAGTGGATGATCAAATCAGTCATTTGAATGACAAGGTACAAAAAACAACACCCAATTCGAGCAACAAGAAGAAAAAAGAATTAAAAAGAACAAGGATAGTTTAAGGGAACTCTGGGACAATATGAAACATAACAACATCCACCTCATAGGGGTACCAGAAGGAGAAGAAAGTGAGTAAGGTATGGAGAACCTCTTCGAAGCAGTGACAAAACTTTCCTAACCTGGTGGAAGAAAAAGTCAGACAAGTTCAGGAAGCACAGAGGCCCAATCATGATGAACCCCAAAGAGACCCACACCAGGACTTTGCGAAGCAGAAACCCTTGTATTTACCTCCTCTCCATGGGAAAGGGCCATATTCATGTCAAGGCTGCTTCAGACAGGCCCAGCCCCTCTCTCCCTGCCCCTTGAGAAGATGGGAGGGCCCGTGTGATTCTGTGTTAAGCCATCGCTCCCTGACCGCAGCATTCCTTGCTCGGGTCCCAGTACTGAAGCCGAGCAAAAGGGCAGTGGAGGGCTGGGCAGGGGGCATAGTGCTGGGAACAAGGAGGGAGACACGGAGGCTCTAGCTTCGTGTCGGGAGAGCCGCAAGCCTGTCACTCAGCCGCATGGGAATAAATATGAGGAGTGCTATTTGATGATGATAAAGCTGCAGCACCAGCAATAGCATACATTCCCTTGTCACTTTCCTTGCTGTTCAGAATTGCAAAAAAATAATCACATACCCACACACGTGTATTTTTAGCTTTGTATCTCAAAGCACTTGGCAAGCTGAAAATTCAGGCACCAGCCACCTGCCACGACCAGCTTGTGACTCACAGGAACGCAGCCTCTCTGAGACAGCAGCTGCTCTGCAGCGCAGGCGAGGCCACGGAGGCCTGGGCCGCACCTGGGGACAGGTGACAGGGTGGGGAGGCAGCAGGCGGGATGCTAAGCAGCCGATCCAAGGAGCCAGTGGTGAAATCCCAGCAGCAAACATGGGCTGCACAGCCTCATCCTTCCCGAAGCGCCTCGGATGTTTTCATGACCTCAGGAGCCTGAAACCTGCACCCGGCACCTGCCAGACCTAGACAAGAAAACACACACCATAGGCATCCTGTATGGAGTCGTCTGTGTCCGGGTAGCTGGGGAGCTGGGGCTTACACAACAGGATCCATGAAAGCACAGAGCTTCCATGATCAGAGATCAATATGCAATTTAAAGGTGGTGAGCAGATGGGGCTGCGTGTGGCCGCCACGTGCTCACCTTTCCTGCAGCTGTCGGCCGTCACTGGGTTTCGCTGGCCCGTTGTGGTGGTCGCCATCTAAAGGTTCAGACTTACCCAAACCAATCAGAGTTTGTCAGAATGACGTCTTAGATCTTTCCCTTCAGTCTCAGAGGTTTAGAGTAGAAAACTGAGAAGTGCAGGCAGTGAGAAAGCACCCGTGACCCTTGTCCTTCTCTCCTCGTGGTTGTCTCCTGGCCAGTGAGTCACCAGCAGGAGGACCGGGCCGGCTGTGTGGAATGGAGACGCAAAGAGCTGTTGCGTTGGGCGCCTGGCCTATCTCGGGATGTCGCCCTGCTTTGCGTTGTCTGTCACCCGCTCCTGCTGACAGGCCTGTGCTCACGAGTTTTGGCCAAGCTGACAGAGGGCACAGTTTTCTGTCCCTGTGCCCTGAGGCGGTGCCGCTGCAGGGTGGCCTTGTCCCCCCTGGCTGTGGCCTCTGTGACTTCCCAGGAGGAGGTGGGTGGGTCCCGTGAGCTCTGTTGTCTAACCTGGGGGTCAGCCTCTCACCAGCAGAACACTCTCCAGAACGACCCCTTGTGGCCCAAACTCGCAGCTGGGGAGGAGGGAGAAAACGGCCCCCGATGGATAAAAAACTTCAGATGGCACCATAAGTACAAGACTGAGAGTGAACCCTGACATACGCCATGGGACAGCGATGTGTCAGTGTCGGGTTATTCCTAAAGGCTTCTCACAGAATCTCACAGCGACCCCATAAAGCAGAGGGAAAAGGACTCACACCCTCCTGTGACCAGTGGCCCAGCTGGGGGCCCCGCCAGGTCACCTGACAGCGGCCGCCTCTGGTGCCGTCACAGCTCACCCAGGTTGGGAACCTGCTCATTTCCGGATCATACCGATTTCGTGTCTCCTGTTTCTGGACAGTAATTTTTCTTCTCACTGCAAACAGTAGTTCTCATCACCAGTTGGAGCGCTCTTGCGAAAAGGGGTTATTTATATTCAAAATCTCTTCAGATACAGAGCTCAGAGTTTGGGTTTTTTTTAAGGGACTGACAAATGAAAACATTTTTCTCTGTTTCTGACTGATTTGTCAACATTTAAATGCTACCATTATCCACTTTCTAGACAGGATCCTCTGGAAGCCAAGGGTCTGGTCTGGCTTTATGTTATAACTCGCCTTTTTAGTGCCCGAGGGGTTTTTGTGCGTGTGCTGGCTCTCCCAGCCCCACACCGCTCCTCGGGGTATAAATAGAACGCTATCTTGAAAGTCATTTTAATTGGGTGGCTATAGTGTGGAGGTTGGACCACGTCTCTCCCCAGGTTGGTTTTGCTGTGTCACAGGACGGAGGCAAGGACAGCGGGTGCTCCCCCCAGGCTGTTGTCTGTCACCCTTGTTTCCTCTGCCCAACTCCCACGTTGGCCTGGACCCAGTCCGGCTCCTGTCCCCACCTGAGCCACGGAGGGAAGAAGGTGTGAATGGCTCTGTCCCCCTCCCACGGGAGTCAGAGTAAAGGCTGAGCAGGGTCCCAAGTGGCATCAGGATCCCTAGGAGGACCCAGCGGCCTCCATGGGCCCTCCTCTTTTTCTCCCAATATGGGGCTCTATGGGGTCAGTGTTGGCTGAGCCCTCGGCCATGGTGTCTGTCCTCTGACGAGGTATCCGGTGCAGTAGGAGCCCAGTAAGTGGGAGCCAGGCACCCCACTGAGTGGGTCCCACTGATGACTGAGTTGAGTGTTCGGCTGTTCCTGACCTTGACAGCTAGGTCGCTGCCCGCTCTGTCCCCAAGACTCCATGACCCCTGGTGCTGTGGCTTGCCAGGAGGTGGGGCCTTGGGAGCTAGCTTCCAGGGCCTCCTGGTGTCCCTGCTCCCAGTGACCCTGCCAGCACCACACGGCTGGTCGCAGGCCACCACACCTGTGCCCCCGTCCCAAGTTATGATGTGGCCGAGGCAGAACTTACCAATGACGGCAGAGGTGGCAGTGCCAGTGATTGAGTGTACACATTTCCCTCCAGTTTCCCTACTGAAGACCAGGGTCAGTCAGCCTGCCTAGCGTGCAGGGAAAGCTGGAGTTCAAGTCCAAGTCCACAGGAAGCCAACTCACCCTCAACTCTTCCATGGCGGCTTCCAACAGGATTGGGTTTTCTTTACTTCCCACAGCTACTTTATTTTTTGAGACTCAGAAGTAAAATGTATGGGTCACACGAGCATGAGTTTCTTTGTCTCATTTGCATTTTATCTTTGGCCTGAACAGGTCTCCTTCCCTCCCCCCCTCCCTCCCTTTTAATTCTCACCCAAGGATATTTTTCCCATTGATTTCTAGAGAGAGTGGAAGGGAGGGAGGAGAGAGACACGTATATTACCTCCCACACGTGCCCTTGACTGGGAATCGAACCAGTGATCCTTGGGTCCGAGGGCCTACGCTCTAACCGCGGAGCCAAACCGACTATTTATTTTTAATATTTTTGAAAGCGCCTGGCTCAATGCTGTGCACATAGTGGGTCCACAGTAGAGACTGAGAAACACTGGTAGAGCCACGTTCATAAGCAGAGGGAAGAGACGGTGGGGCCCAGGGCAGACTTGGTCCCAGAATCCGTGCTCCGGGCGAAGCCAGGCCTGATGGCCCGAGAGAGGCCGGGAACTTGGCAGCACCGGTCGCGTCTGCAAATAGTGCTCACATGCTGACGTCTCGCCCTCTGTAAACATTTCTTTTTTAGAAGCAGTTCTTAATTCCTGCACCCCTTAGTGTATCCCTAGTTTCTTGAGAAAATATCTGCCCACATTCTCCAGTCACAGGGGATGACTCAGGCCAGGGATCCGGCAGTTCAGGGCAGTAGCTGCCTTCCTGCCCCTGCCCCTGCCCCTAACCCCTTAGGCCCCAGCCAGCGCAGCGAGCGAACCCCCACGACCCCATTACCCCGCCCCCCGGGCCCGAGACTGCCCTGACCCCTCTGCTCCTGTGCTCCTGCCTCGGCGGTTGCCAGAGGAACCATAAAAATATTGCTCCACGTGCTCTAGGAGCAAAATGTCGGTGCACGTTACTATTGTTTTAACCTAAAACACGAACGTGTGAAAATCAGCCCAGCCTGGAAGCAGTCCCCTTCCTGGCAGACAGCTCCACGGGAAAGAGATGCAGAACCCGCAGGAGGGACTCGGGAGAGAGGGTGAGACTTTGCTGTGTGTGTCAGTGAGCGTTGGGCCTCCTTCGTTCTCAGGGGCAGAGCTTCAGAAGCAATCCCGTCCCCTTCTCTTGCTGCAAGTCAATAAAACTACCTTGTCACAACCACGTTGCGTTCTTGAATAGGACCCTCTGTGCAGGAAACGCCTTGAATTCGGGAACGCTTTTTAAAAAAAACCCTCACCTGTGGATATGCGTTTATTGAATTTAAAGAGAGAGGAAAGGAGAGAGAGAGAGACATCCATGTGAGAAATATCCATTGGTTGCTTCCCATACACACCCGACTACACCCAACTGGGGATGGAACCTGCAATCTAGGCATGTACCCTGACCACGAATTGAACCTGCAACCTTCTGGTGTACGGGACAATGCTTC